AGCCGGTTCGGACTTGTCCATCTTATCCGGCTGGCTCCCGTTTCCCTTTCCAGGAACTCGTTACACGGATTACTTCTTAACATTACCGTTAGATCTAATAATTACATTCAGTTGCAAAATGAAAGAGCCCGTGGAGTCCAGGACGTAACAATATTATACGTAGCATAATTTCTCCATTTAATTAAGACGACCTCTCATCATTCCACATCCTCAATTGATCGCACGGTCTCGTCCTTAGTCCGTAGAGTTAATTCTCCAGACTTGAAAAGAGACCAACGAGTGAGTGTTCGTGAGACAGAGTAAGATCGGCGTACGCCGTTGACCTGTCGACGAACGTAAGCAAACTCGCTCGACTCCGTTGCAGCGGGATCGCCAACCTGCTGTGCGGAGATAGACAGAGAAACGACAGCTCTCTGTTACTCCACCATAGCCCGACCGTAACCGTGGGCCAGGACGTAACAGTTATATAAATGTAATTATTAGAAATAACATGTATTTATATAAGTGATTAGTTATTTACGTTAACATTATTTTCTAAATAAAAAACATTTTAAATAGGTTTTTTATTTGTAAAGTATATTTATTTCTGAAATATTTATTTATACAATATTTTAGTTATACAATAAATTGATATGTGTACTGTTTTTTATATTACAACTTAAAATAATTTGTTTATAAATGCCAATCACTAAGATCGAGGGAATGTAAAAACAATAGTTGATTTAGATGATCACTTGACAACCTACTTCGCTCTTCAGTTATTATTTTACCTGCTTTGGAAAATAGCCTTTCGGAAGGAACTGAAGTGGCAATTAATGAGTGATACTTAAATGCTAAAACGCTCAGATACGAATCTCGGGTTATACTCCAGTAATTAAGGACACTTTCGTCCATTTTTATCGATGGTTGATTCAAATAATAACGAAATTCTTCTGGCATTTGACCAGAATCTTGATTAACGATATGTTTAGACATTGTTAAGTTTACAAGCTTTTCATGTTCAGACCAAAAGTTTGTTCTATCGCAATCTGAAGTTTGTCGTCGACTTTGACATTCAACAGTGGTATCTATAACTTTTGAATTTATTAATTTTGTAATTTTGTTGATAGCCTGTGAGCAAGCAACTTTATCGTTAAAATTAATATTTTTAAAGCGAGGATCTAAAATTGTGGCTATAGCTAATAACGACACTTGTTCAATATTCTCAAACCGTTTTATAAATTGATCTTTTAACATTTTTTTAAAATGACGCCCTATATTAGTTGAAGGTTCGTATACTTGCAATTTATTTTTTAAAATATTTACAATAGGAATTACTTTACTTGCAGTAAGGTACTGTTCGCCGCATATGATTTTTGTTGCATCTTCAAATGGTTTTAATAGATTAATAAATTCTTTAACCGATTGTAACTCTAAAGCAGAGAGCATAGGTGGAGCTGTAGGACACTGCAAAAGAATGCAGCTAATTTTATCTGATAAATGTATAAATCTTTCTAACATATAATATGTAGAATTCCATCGTGTTTCCACGCTGTGAATTAATTTTAAGTTTGATTGAGCTCGTAATTGATCTGCAGCAATAACTGACTTTTTAAAATACGTAACAATAGTTTTTATTTTTGCACAAAAGTGTTAAACAGTCTCATCTTCGTCAATAATTTTTCCCGGAACTAAATTTAATGTATGCGCAAAACATGGCAAATGTTTGTCTGCGCCGAAAGCATCAATAATAGCTTTTTTTATATTGGCAGCATTGTCTGACACAACAGCCAAGATATTTTCAATGTTTATATTCCAATTATCTATTAAATTTAATAACGACATTTTCAAATATTCGGACTGATGTCTTTCCGTCATTTCAACGACGCCAATTACAATTGATTTATGTTGCTCTTCTACTAAAAAATGTGCCGTTAAGCCCAGAAAACTTCTCGTATTTAACGATTCAGTCCAAATATCAGTGGTTAAAGATACGTATTTTACTTCGGAAAGTTGTGTTTTTATCATATATGACAAGATGTCGTACTTCTCTTCTATAAGATAAGTTATGGTTTTCCTACTAGGAATTTGGTATAAAGGCAATATTCCATTCATAAAGATTCGAAAACCCTCCTTTTCAACTACTCGAAATGGCAAGTGATCCTTAGCAATCATAAACAGTAGTTTGTTTGTTACTTCTGCAGCTTTGGATCCTCCATCTAAAACAATAAAAAATATTATAAATTATAACAATATGACTTAAAAATATACTTACTGGTTAAAGTAATAATATTATCAAAAAATCTAAATTGAAACACGATTAAATAAGTACAATTTGCATACCTTGATATGACTTTTGTTTTTTAAATGCTAAGTCAATTCTAGGTTGTTTGGAAGTAGGACTTGGTGAAATTGATACTGATTGCGTTTCTGACAGTTCTGAATTAATGATTGACGATGTAGAAGGTGCTGGAGATGAGACTGGATCATCAATGTCGACATCTTCATTATCTACTTCGGACTAAAATTTACAACATAAATTATATAAAAATTAAAACTTAAACAAGTAAAAAAATAAAGAATAATATAATATATAAACCATTTGTTTTCTCTTAAGAGATACTGCAGATTGTTTTCAATACTTTTCTGGATATCGGAATGAGAACGATTCATGTGAAAATGTAAATTGGTTGTATTTCCAGCTGTCTTTACACTTATTTGGCAAATTTTGCATTTGGCAGCAGCACCACTTTTTATGAAATAGTTTCAAATAGTACTTTTTGGTGGCACTATATGAAAAAAAGAGAATTGATATTATTTAATAATGCAGGAAAAATAAAATACTTTTTTTATAATTATTTAAAGAATATAATAGGAAAAATTTGCATGCGTACTTTTATAGAAATAAATGCGTGAGGAGGGAAAGGAATTTTATGTTGTTTAATATGCAGTAAGTCTTAAGCTTTTTTGGCACTTGTATCCACTTCAGCTAAACTATGAATAGGATTATATATTCTTTTGAATTAGGGAATTTTGTTGATTAAAAATTAGGAAATAGAAACACACGTGCACTTTCACCTAATTATCTTTTTACCCTTATCTTTTTTTTACCTTTTGTTAACTCTGTAAAGGTTATAAGGAACAAATTAAAAATTCAACTATAAAAGGTAGAAAAAATATTAAACTCTAGAATAGATAAAAGAAGAATACACTTGTTTATTTTTATTCTTACCTTAATTGAAGTTGCTCATTATCTCGGCGATAATAATACACATGACACATACTGCATCGCGGAATTAACTCTTGGGCCGCTCTCGTAAGCTAGGCTTGTACGTAGCTACTTAAAAAGCATACGAATTTATTGTTTCTCGATCTCGAGACTTGTTTTGGATCTTGTTCGTGGTTATTACTGGCAGGTCACCGGTAGGTCACAAAAATATCTACTGCGCAACGGTTACATTCAAACTCAGGCAGGCAAGCGCTGCGCACGACATCTCACATATAAAAAAGTCAATTAGAGACGAGCGCGCATGCGGAGTAGATACATTTGGTTAAACAATACAAGTGTATCGAAGATCAATATTCAAAGATTAAATATCGATACGTGAAAATATCGAACGTTAAAATATCGATACAAAATATCGATATTTGGTATCGCCCATCTCTAAAAGGGAGAGTGTTGTTTTTTTTTGATCACCCCACATAGACCCTTTGCTATTTGTTTATAATAAAATTGCTCGTGGCGTCGGAGTTTCTATTTGCGCCGGCTGCTCTAAATTTTTATAAGCGATATTTTTCTTGACCCGGAGATATCCTGGTTTGTTTGGAAAGCTGCTCAAAGTGTTTAAATAATAAATTTTTCTTGCTCGTTATCATAAAATTTCGGGTTATTACCAGGCGCGGTTTATCTTTTCGGGCGCCGATATGATTTTCGTTTGCTCTCCTATCGTTTGGAGTCTAAGTTTCCAAACGATAGGAGATCCGTTCGGATTATTTATTGCTTTTCGTTATTTACAAAAAAAAAGGTTTGTTATGCGTTGGCGCGTCGCGTTGCAAGAAAAAGGGGATCGTGGAGTCTCCAAGACGTAACATTACACACAAACATATTTATGGGTTGAATCGCTATACAATTTGTTTTCATTTCTTCGTTGTAAGCATGTAGGCAGGGGGAGCTGCGCCCCCCCGCAGGTGGAGGGGCTTCGCCCTTTCCCCCTGCTCCCCTCTCCAAAAAAAATAGAAAACGATTTCTGATTACAGCTTCATGTTGATAGTATGTACGTGATTTTTAACGACTCTTAATCAGAAGTCGTTTTCTACTTTTTTCGGGGGGGGAGCAGGAGGGAGGGGCGAAGTCCTTCCACCTGCGGGAGGTACAGCCCCCCTGCCTACATGCTTTTAACACACAAAATATGTACATGTTGTCGGGAAAAAAGATTTATTTATGAAACTTTTTTTGATCATAACTTTTTTATAAACAATGAGCGACGGCTAAAACTTTTAGAAACGTACTCAGGAAGGTCATATTTACAATATATGTGAACGAGTAGCCGATCGGAGGGAGCTCCCTTATTCTGTATATTTACCGTATTATTTTCTAAGTGCGGTTTAAAAAACATTTTTATTAAAAATATCGAGAAGTGATATTAGAGATATTATATTCGCGATACAGTACAATCTCTTGTTGAAAGAACAAGATCCAGTTGTTCTTTATGCGGACTCACGCTAATTATAGCAAACGATAGAAATAACATTGAAGTATTTAGAAATTTCGCATATCGCGTATCGAACTCACTTCTCGCGTCGATGCATGCCGCGGGATTCTTCGCTGAAGATCGCCGCCTGCTGCACATTGCGTGCGAAGTGACAAACTTTTGTACAGCGTTTAACCGCGAAGAAAACGTGCGTGGACTAATCGCGCGCATGGTAGCCGATGACGATGGTAAGTGACAAATTTTTATAATCTTGTAAAGTTGTACACTTAAAAAATTTTGATATAATGAGCAAGTAATTCTCATTTTAGCGAACAAAATTGTCGAGCCGGAAATGGTTCGAACACCGGAGGCGGGGTACCTCGTCTTGCTGTTGCTCCTCGACAACAACAGCAGCAGCAGCAGCAGTAGCAAGATGCAAGCGAGGTGGAGAGTGTGGCGCGGAACGCCGCGACGCCGATTGTACCACGTCGTACCTGTACGGAACCTCGGCCGATAGCACGAGTAGCGCCAATGCGGCCGAGGTATCGCCTTTCTCTACGGCGACGACGAGAGGCGAGAAGAAGAACCAAACGAGCCTCCTTTTCGTAAGTATAAGTAAAGAAAGAATTATTAACGCTAAAATAAAAAATATATTACTAATGTTTTCAAATTTTAGGAAGAGCAAGTAAAGAAGAAGCGGAGCTTCCTCTTGCCCCTCCTGTAGTTGCTCCTCCCACTGATTCTGGTAAGTAAAACTATTTAAATATTTAAAACATTATGATAAAAAATGTAGAGAAAATAGAATATATATATATATTTATTGTATTTATTTATTTATTTACAATCACAGTACATCAAGTACATGCACGAAGTACATTATATAGAGGTTTAATGAGCCTGTACATAGATCTGATTCCACTATATAATAAAAAAAAAACAAAAGAAATAATTAAAAAAAACAATATACAATAATATAGAATAATATAGAATAACAAATAACAAACAAAACCAAAAGAAATATAAATTTCTCTATTTCAATCTTTGCCTGAGTCCATCATGTAACTGTTATTCATTTATGCATTCAACTTAACCCATTTATTAAGTTCGGGTTTTTATTTATCCACATTTTTAGCGCATGTTTGATTCTATGCTGGCTTAACATCTTTAGTTTCACCGGTAAATTGTTATAATAGTAAGCGGCTGCATACCTACGGGTTTTTCTTCCTACTTCAAAATTTACTTTTGTTAATGGTATAGTCCTATTTCTAGTTAGAGATGCACAATTCTCAGTATAAATTTTAATTTCATTATAATGATAAATTATAGCTTCATAAATATATTTTTGATAAATATTTAAGGGCATCACTTTATCTTTGTCAGCTTTATAAAATATTTATTCTATTTTTTTATGTAAGTTTTGTACTAAATTTAGTGTAGTAATATCAGCAGAGCCCCATGCTATTATACCATAAGTGATAACGCTATAATAAGCACCATACATAATTATTCTTGGTCAAACTAAGAGACAATTAAAAACAAGATTGAAAGAGCATGTAAATAACATATCGAAAGACACAGCTCAGCTCTCCGTCGTTTCTCAACACCGCTTACAACTTAATCATTCTTTCGATTGGGATAATGTTAAGGTTTTAGACAGAGAACCGAATTTTTATAAAAGAATAATTTTCGAGACTATCCACATTAAGCGACAACATCAGAGTCTCAATTTAATAACAGACACCAAATCATTGAATAACGCTTACTTTGATCTTTTATACAAGATGACTCTGTCTAAAACGTAAATCCAACGGATTCTTCTATCCCCTTTAGTAAGATTATAAATATGTTTGTCTCTTGCCTTTGACTATCATTTGACTCTTTACCGTTCAAGTGTAAGCTCCTTCTGACTTTTATATTTTGTGTTCTGTGATTATTGTGTATTTTGACTTATCTTTTGATTTTACATTGTAACGACAGGAACATTACACGAGGTACGACCACCTACCTTATATATAACACACCATGACATCTTTACTTTAACTTTTTGTACACTGCGACTGAGGAGGACATCAGTGAATGTCAAAACGTTTCGCACTTGTATAATTTTTATTATTTAATGTATTACGTTTGAATATTACAATTTTATACTGTCATCACGTTTTTTGCTCGATATTGACCTTATTCATCGACATACTAATTTGTTCTTACATCACGAGCGTTTTAATATTATTTATAATTATTCTTATACAGTCTCCACTTAGAGTCATACTCAGCTTAGATAATATAAATAAAGAGTATTTGACTTTTTTGATTTTACATAGATAGATACTTTTATTGATTCCCATCTGGGTTACAATCTTTTTACAATCCTTATTTACAGTCTTAGGTTTCTTACAACTACTTCTTACCACTACCTTACGAGACCTTACAATTAACTTGCTTACAACTTTTTTTTTTTGTTTGTTATCGAGGGGAAATGCGTTACGCATAACCGAGCCCTTCGGGGGAAGAAACCCAGGTTATGTGAGACTCCCTTCAAAGAGAAGGTATACCCACTAAAACCCCCCGGTGATCCATCAGCACTTAGAGAGAGGTTGGCTGCCCAGAGGCACTTACTTTGCCCCTCCCTCTTTCGTGCCCCAACAGCTGTTGACCGCCTTACTTATTCGAGGCGAGAAACCGAGACCACACCGGATCTTACCCCACACTCTGTGCAGGCTGCGTGCAATAGCCGAGAATGGCTCCCGCCATTCCCTTCCTGCAGCCTACCTTCGTCCCGGCTTTCTCCCTCTCGTCCCCCCTCCAAAGAGAAGGCAAGGTACAGAAATTAGAGAGAAGAAGAACGGGACATTGCTCCCATTGGTGCGTTGTTGGTGCATCCTAAACTTGCCAGGGGCGAATCCCCGGCAATATAAACTTATTATCTACAGGTGCTGAGCCTGTCGCACTCTTTCGGCCTCTTCCTTCGCAGAC